GAGCAGGCACGTTACTCGTTTCCTATGTGTAATAAAAGAATTTGGACTAATAAAAAGCTTGCAAACATATTAAAAATCCGACCATTATTTATGAGAAATTTGATAAAATAGTGATAACGAAATAGTTGCGCCCATTTACTACTTTCAAATCAACCTTACGCCTGTTCACTGAAACTAAGTTCACGTTGTTTATTTAAGTATTGATCATGAATTTTTCGTGGGGATGGCTTTGCCCCAATATAACCTAATTCCTCGAAACATTGTCTTTGATGCATTGTTGGTATTCAGCTTAAAGACATCTAATTTTGTCCACCAACAAACATGCCAAATCATCAGAAATTTCTAATGTTTTTGTGTCCGCACGGCGACCTTCGCGGCCGTGGATGCCATTTGCTGGATTTCCCGAGAGCCTCCGCCCACTTGAAAAAATAGTGCTAGCATTTGGCAGTGGTATATGAGTGTGCGAAGAGGGGCGCTGCATGGCAGTTTGCGTCTAGCCCATCCACCATGTCATTAACCGAAAACCGACACCAGATGGCCGTGCCGCTTACAATATGTATAAAGCTGTTACCGATCAATCACTTTATAAAAATCATTATAGATTTTTTCCTGGAGATCAAATTATTGATTAATGCCCCTAAAAAAAAAAGTTTAAAATTATTAATTAAACATATTGAACATTAATAAAAGTGTGGTGAGCGTTGTAATTTGATAGATAACATCATCGCATCAACGCACAATTTACGTGCTGGTGTTGCGTTTTCGGATGGTTATTCTGACAGAAATGCGTGGATCGGGGTAAGATCAGTGCTTCTTAAAACTATATTCAGTGTTATTCAGCTTGGTCTTTATCCACAAATTTCATTCACCATTCAACTAAATTCTTGTCTTTGGGTAATTTCGTCTACGTGTCATTCGCCCCCCGAAATAATTACATTCACCCTGGCGTGAACCATCACCAGCTTAAGAAGGCAACTGAGTAGATGTTGATGTTGTGAAGTTAGATTTATGGGTGAAATGTTTAGAATTGTTTGCAAATGAATTACGGACGATCTAGTGTGAAATGTCTATCATCTGATCATACATTCGTTATTATCTGAAATGTTTCTGACGACGTGCTTTTGCTTTGCAAACGGATATGTAACTGCAAGTTCTGTCTCTTTATACTTTGTGATGTACGATATTTCCAGCAACTACTCCAATGGTTTTTTCTTGACATATTTGCAGTTTTAAGTCATTTCGTTGGTGTAGTTGAGGTTTTCAGTCGTGCGTTGTTGGATCCGTGCTGTCTATTCTCTATTTGCATCGCTCTTTTATTACTCTAATTATTAATCTATCAACTACGGATCTATATTTTACGCTGCCGACTCGTAACTGTTTCAATGTCGTTTTTTAAAAATCTCATTCGGTAGCGGAATATTCTTTTTTTCTCGATAATGCACTGTTTATTTGATCTTAATCGTTCTTAAAATAATCGTGTTAAAATAACGTGCGCAGAAAGTAATGTAAAGGAACCATCGCCGAACTGTTTAAATGAGAAGATTCCAACGTAATCGAGAGTGTCACAACCACGTACTGGTATTGATGTTACGTAAACAAGGGCCTCGTTGCATGGTTACACGCGTTTACTCCACGTTGCTCCGCACCGGTAACGCCTAACAGCGACGGTGGCGCCATCTCTTAGACGGTTTCGACAACTCGCATGATTCGTGCTGCAGGGCTCCACCGAGGAGGAAGAGGAGGAAGAGGAGGCGGTGACCACCGTGACGAAGACGACGAAGACGACGACGAGCGGCGAAGGTGAAAAGACGACGGAGGTCACCGGTCAGCCGGGGACGGGAGAGACGACTGATGACCGAATCGACACGACGCGAACGACGAAGCGTGTCGGACGGGAGAGCGGATACGTGTCGGAGCGCAAAGAGGAGTCTGGGTCGGAGGAGGAAGAGGAGGAGATCGTCACGACGACGACGAAAACGACAAAAACCATCACAGGTAACGTCATCGTCAGCGTTGTCGCCGTCACCATAGTCATGGTCATCGCCATCGCCATTTTTATCATCATCTCATCATAGCAGCAGCAGCAGCAGCAGCAGCAACAACAACAACAGCAGTAGCAGCAGCAGCAGCAGTAGTAGCAGCAGCAGCAGCAGTAGTAGTAGTAGCAGTAGCAGCATCAGTAGCAGTAGCAGCAGCAGCAAGCAGTGTAGCAGCAGTAAGCAGCAGCAGCAGCAGTAGTAGCAGTAGCAGCAGTAGCAACAGTAGCAGTAGCAGTAGCAGCAGTAGCAGCAGCAGTAGCAGTAGCAGCAGTAGCAGTAGCAGTAATAGCAAGCAGCAGCAGCAGCAGCAGCAGCAGCAGCAGGAGCAGCAGCAGAGCAGCAGCAGCAGCAGTAGTAGCAGTAGCAGCAGCAGCAGTATAGCTCTGCTTGCATTGTAGTAGCTCATATATCTCATCACCACATCTCACAATACATCTCATTATATCTCACACGCCTACATTCACCGCCAGGCGCCACCACGCAAGTGATAGAGGGCGGCACCGTCGAGGTAGAGGTCACGACGAAGGAGGGCGGATCCAAGATGGACGAGGCCGAAGAGATTATTAAAACCATCGAGTCAGTAGAGCAGCAGATGCCAGAGGCAGAGATTACCTTCGACGTAAGACATCTACCTTTGGGTCTTAGGCTCAGGGGCCCACTTCAAGGTCAACTATTGGACCTTGCAGTGGTGACCTTGAGGTGCCACGAATCACTGAGTAATTAAGCGCCCATTAAAAAAACATGATTAATTTCCCGCTTAAAAAAAAATAAACGTTCATGTTTATTCATATAATACGCTGCAGTAACATAATAATAATTTTAATCAATGCATTTTTTAATTATGTAATGCTGAATAATTTTCGGCACATAGTCTCTGGTTCTCTTCCTAGTGGGGTAAGAAGAAGAAGATTATATTGTCACATGGCGTTGACATTTGTCGCACGTCATGTCACGCAAATGTCATTCGTTTCCGTTACAGGTGACAGAGGGTGAGGTGACAACAGACACGGTGACAGGTAGGTGACAGAGAAATCCGCCGCCAGGTGGCGTCGAAACCCGGAAACTCGAAAACTGTTACTGAATTTTCAATAAAAAATGTCTAAAATAATGTTAAAGCATCGTCGTAACTTCTGCACGAAAGTCATATTAAAGCCAACGAGATTTTATACGCATGATATCATAAATAAATACATGGGGTTATATGGGAAGTGCCCGTTCGAACATTACCATGCGCTACTTCTACGAACACAATTAAAACAATAATTAATTCAATAATTTAAAAAGACAGGATTTAACATTAACGTGCTCTCAGGCACTCTCAGTTTCTCGCAGAACCACCAGAATCTGGTATTTTACCCATTAGCTGGTATTTCAACTAGTAACTGATACTTTAGTGTACCCCCCCACACATGGGACCGGTTTCACGAAGCGTGATTAACTTTAGTTATGATTAAATCACTAATCATACTTAGAAATCTGTTTCACGAAGCGATTTAAGTACATATTTAACTAATCACATAATTAGCCGACTTAAACATGAATTACACTGTATTCAAAATGGCGGACAACGCCAAAAGTACCTGCAAATTCGGTACATGAAAAGGAATTAATTTGCAATTATAATGACTAAATTAGAACAGCTAATCTTAGATAATTTAAATTTCCTTGGAAAAAAATGGAAGTAAAATTTCCAATTGTAAAATCTGCAGCGTACTTAATATACTATTAACGATATAAATACGAATAATCACGATTACTACCTACATACTACTACTAGTACTAGCAACTAATCATGATTAGTGGATTTAATCATGCTCTTGAGTAGAATTAAATATTGTGATTAACTTAATCATGATTAAAGTTAATTACGCTTCGTGAAACAGTCACTTCAATTTAAGTACGGGAATTCGTGAAACCGGCCCCTGTTATATTTCCCCTGGTAATTAATTTTCCGCCTTTCCCGTGACGTCACGCACGTACAGAGACGCCTGCTCACGTGGATCAGGAGACTGTTGAGGTGACGACGACAACGATGACGACGGTAAAGGAGCAGAAGACCGTCGTAGCTGGGGAGGTGAAGCCAGCCGAAGTCAAGCCAGGTAAGGTTAACATACACACGCACACACACGCACGCATGCACGCACACACACACGCACGCACGCACGCACGCACGCACGCACGCACGCACGCACGCACGCACGCACGCACGCACGCACGCACGCACACACACGCACGCACGCACGCACGCACGCACGCACGCACGCACGCACGCACGCACGCACGCACGCACGCACGCACGCA